CGTCACGCGCATGCCGGATTTTCAAGATGGCCGCTGATACGAATGATGATTAGTTTGTGCTGACAACTATTTTATCGTAAATTCGGATTTATCTAGTGTTATAAGTGTAAATTTAAAGTTTCATTCAATGTGTGTAAGCATAAAAGACTCGTGGCTGAAAATACTCGCGAAAACCCCAAGCATTTTCTGGTTTTATAATACTGGATTTATTGTATCAGGACATCGCTCTTTTATTTGTGTGTATTGCTAGTTAGTATTTCCTAGTCAAGCATTTGTTTTGCTTTTTTTTTATAAATCAAATATCTACTTAGTTGTAAGTTTCCTTTGCATGTAATTACTAATAAAAATTAGGGTTTGTGAAGAGTGAATAAATAAATATGTAAATAAATTCCTTTACTGGCGCGTTTACTATGAAAACGCATGGAAAATATGGGAAACTTGCAGTGTTTTTCTGGAATATGATTATGAGAATCTAAATTAGGTATCACTATTTGGCTTTGTGAAATAAGCTCACTTTGAATGTCCATATTAAATCCTTCTAGTACCTATTAAATTAATGAATAATAATTGAGAAGTACCTAGGTAGGGTCAGTAAAAAATAAAGCACACTATTGCAACCCCGTTTCGCTTATATTTTGATATTGAAATGCAAAAATTAAACCGGCTCGGCACTCCACATTTGGTTTTCTACTGTTTCTCAACTGTAGTCAATTGTGCCCGTTTTGTGCTCAATTGTGCCAGTATTTATGCGAATTGTGCTCATTTTCATACACAAAAAAAACATTGAAACGAATCCGGGGGCCAGCTTGACTCCAGCCCTTCGTTTTTTTGACTTTTTGGCAATATGTTTGGCTAATTGATAAACAAAAGCAAACAAACTCGTCTTTCTAATTAGCAATTAGCCAACCACTCAAGCCTCAAGGACACAAGCTTTTGAAGTCTGCTAATTTTAAAATCAAAAAATTAATTACAAAATACAGTTTTCAAAGGAAATAACCTCAAAATAACAATTTTTCACGTTTGAAAATGCAAGGATAGTGCACTGTCATAAAAAACACAAACCGATCAAGGACTGCGTGACGTAATTCGCATACCGCCATCTTCGATGTTTTTATGAACGTTTGTCTTATGGGATTGAGCAATCCTGTAGAGTTTACGATTCTTGACCTCGGCAATGCTTGGAACCAGGAAAACCAATATGGCGGCGATTACCTAAAACGAGGCCGATAAACACTCCTTAGAGTGTGTATTCTCCTTGCCCTTAAACAACGTTGTTGCAAAACCATCATTCGTTATCACAAATATCAAAGATTTAAATTGTCAGTTGCCAATATATAACAGATAGGACTGCTTAGGGCCAAGGATGATACACAATCTATACTACTACTACTACTCTATGCCACTACAGGATGGCCTATCCTCATAGGGGCAGGACCTGTGTGTAACAAATCCCCTCCTTCCCAGCGCCAATTTACCAGTTGTGACGTAGGCAGCATGTTATTTCCAATGAACTATTTCTCGCCTTGGCGTAGACTGTTTAAACAGCTGATGACGGAAATGGTAACACACCAATATGCTGCTGACGGCGACGATTACCAAAAACGAGGTCTATAAGCAATCCCTTGTATTAGGTGTGTATCATCCTTGGCTTAGGGTATCTTTCCTAAAGTTAATAGGTTGTCTGTGGGGTGCCTTTGCCTTATGGAAATTTTCATTATAGGCGATTTTCAGCCTGGAATGATTATAATTTGGTTTTAACCAATGCATTTCCGCTGTCGCGACTTTTAAGAGTCGCGTCAGCAGTAAAGAGTACGGTGACGACACGAAAAGCTGCGCGAAGCGGGTCCGATCTCTCTCCCTCGTCTATCTCTCGCTAGTCTCGCTGTCTGCCGTGGTGCCGTGACCTCGACCGTGAGCTGAATCCAGCAGCGGGGTATCTTTTTAGACAAAACTTGGATAGAAAATAAACTAAATAAATATGCTTGCTGGCCGTACGACAATGAACCACGTGCTTGGCGTTCGGCAGCAGCACCGAACAATACGATAGTTCGGTTAGTCTTCAAAATTGGGTTTGTACCAATGAAGTAGTAAGAATAAGGTTGGAATAGCCCTTTACCTATCTACTCAATACATATATTTGCGGCCAACATTAGAGTGAGAGAACAGGAGAGATCCATGAGATTTTCTTGCCCTTATTAGCGCTATCTCACTCAGGGTTAGAGTGAGAGATATAGGATATCTAATAGATTTCTTGCCCTTACTAGCGCTATCTCATTCTGGAATCGATTGAATGACGCAAAGCTCATTCCATACCTTCTTTCTACATCATTAGTTTGTGCGCATTTGACGTCACCGTACTCTTTACTCTTAACGCGGACTCTACCAAAGTAGGGAAAGTTGTGACGTCACAGATCAGCTGATTTCCTTTTGGTATTTACCACCAATGAACTATAAACTTTTCAAAACTACAGGCACGTATACTTCTCTCAAACAGCCTTGTGCTTAGGGTCGGTTTCTCAAAGTTGTATTGCGTATTCTTTTCAAGAGTTTAGAGCACTAGAGCTACTCGTTCCGGTGTTAGTCGACCCCGATTTGGAAGGAATAGATGCGCTGGGTTTCGTGCATTAATATTATGTTTGAGTTCGGGCTTGAGCGCAAGCTGTGGTTGTGTACTTCGTTACGTGCTGTTTGGAAACGCAAATATGGCGTCAAGTCGTACTTAAGCCAAGACGCAACCTTGAGCATCGACTATGAATACGGGCTTAAATTAATTATAGCGACTCACCTCCGGGTTGGTTTTAACTCCAGGGTAAACTTTTCCAGTACCAATGTTTATCCTGTAGTAATGCTTATCCCGGGGATGACTTGCTATTGAGAAACCGGCCCTTATCGAGCCTAAAGTGGGTGTCTGCCATAGCCACGCTGACGCGAAAACTCCCCATTATTTTTGACGTCAGCCGCAGACCTCATTATCCGAGTTTGAAACACTATATGTCAAAGAAAAGAATTCCTAACCGTGAAAATACACTTTTATAACAACAAACAACAAACAATTATATACATTCTAAATCGCCGAAAAAATTAATTCACAAGCACTGACTGAATCGCAAGCAATCCATCGAGGTCTACGGATGACGTCACCACTATCAGTCACCACAGACGCTGCCGATTCGAGAACTGGCGAACGTACGCGTTTACTAGGTTGAGCAATCCAATTTGGTTACGTTTTCTTGGTCAGTTGTTATTTCATTACCGTATCGATAAGTTTTTCTCTAGACTCTAGCTCATTGTACCCGATATCCGATACCGCAACTTTCTCAAAGCTCCTCGATACGAATAGAGTATCCTTATGTTGGTATCGATTCTAGAATACTTGACAAAGCTCTGTTCCAACTGACACGAAAACCAGAAACATATCGCTAGGTTCGTTCCAACCCCCCGTTTTCGTATCGTCATGAAACGGTTTCGGAACTGTTAGGATCGATTGCAGGCGCATGCGTTGACTTTTAGAGGTGGGCCAACCTGCGATTTTAATGGAGCTGTGACAAGACGTGACTGCTCCAGTTGTGTCACTGTGACAAATAGCAGTGATTTTTTGGAGCAGTTTTACCTTAGTTGGCGGCCGTACTGCTATGTTAATGCTACATCGCAAAATGGCATAGTGGCAGTCCGCATTCACGGCTGACAGAGATGCTCCACTTTCCAGCCTGCCCTCTGCAGTAGCAGTTTAGCAGTTTCCATTTGGTGTGACCATAATGCGATTTATAATAATATTATTTCATTTGCATGACTTAGCTCGAGTTTTGTCCGCGCTGCGTCGGTCGGAGCTTGAACGGGCAGTGACAAAATGTCACTGCTACATGACTGGGACTGGAGCAGGTCGTGACTGTGACAGACGAGTAGCAGTGACAAAGTCACAGTTCGTGAAATCGCAACCCACCTCTATTGACTTTGCACGGTTTTATCTTGGTACAGAAACAACGGGTAGTTGGAACGGTTTCATGATCGTTTTCGTAATGACGACAGTTCAAATAACTTTAACCCTAAATTTGTTTGTTTGCAAATTAAAATAGAAGAATATAGGATTAGGATTACAAAATAATATATAAAAAAGGAAAATCGAACACCAACGCTGATTCATTATCAAGAATCTAAAACTGAATCCTTGCAAGCTGATAACATCAAGGATTAGCAAATAGCTGATAATAAATTTTGTACTTTTTTTCACTTGAAAAAAATAAAAATGCTACAGTTTTATAAGTTAGATTGGAAATTGGTTGTTTAACAACAACATGAACAACAAAAACAGGTGACAAAAATTGAATTACGCATGTCAGTCATGAATCAGTCCACGCGGTTCTTGCTTTCCACTCGGGATCGAAATGACGGTGCTAAAACCAGTTCTCGAACGATCCCAGGTTTGGTTGGAACGCCAACGAAACTGTACGGTAAACGATCATCTCTCGGTTGGAACGCGTTTAACCTATGGCGCATGACCGTGACCGTACATTGAACGGTTTTTGGCTGGGTTGGAACGAACCTGCTACTAGTTGTATTCCTTTGAAGAGTTTGAAACACTCGAGCTACTCGCTACGGTGTTCTGTCGCCCCCGATTTACAGGGAATAGATGCGTGGTGCAACAAACACTTTTCGAAAGGAATAAGCGCGTGAAGCCCCGGAGCTATTCCAGAGCTCCTCCTAGGTGTGAAAGGAATACAACTAATAGTTGTATTCCTTTCACACCTAGGAGGAGCTCCGGGGCTTCACGCCCCTATTCCTTTCGAAAAGTGTTTGTTGCACCACGCATCTGTTCCCTGCAAATTGGGGGCTCCTGAACACCGGAGCGAGTAGCTCGAGTGTTTCAAACTCTTGGAAGGAATACAACTATTGTATCAAATAGAGAAGGGCGTATCGATTAATTCTCGTATCGACATGACATAATTTGGAATACTTGAACTTTTTTTTTGAGGAAAGGAAAGGGTAAAAGATGAGACAGATGACAGATTGACAGGAACTTCAATTGATTCCCTCTAGAGAGAGAGAGATGGAAGGCCACAAGTAGTAATTTTTACATTTCATGTTATACACATTCGATTCTAGTTCAAGTTTAATTTAAGAAAAATTCCTGTACTCGAATAGAAGTTTGTCTTATTTTTCAGACTCCTGCCCTAATAATTAACTACTTCCACTTTAAATTTATTCACCAACAATATGGTGAGATGTTCAATTTTGTTTTTCTTTCCACGTTTGAGAACGTCTTTCCTTTTTTTTACAGGCAGTAGCCCAATTCCTAGCTGGCTTGCCTTCGTTCAACGAGAATAATTTCTCAAAGTTCTATACCGATAGCAATAATAGGAGTGCATCAAAGAGGCCGTCTGTGTATGTGTCTACTAAAGACATACCTTCCGAACAAAGTAAGATGTATTTTATCGAGTATTTTATTATTTCTTTTATAGTCACAGGACATGAGTGTGTTTTTACTGGGTTGTCACAAAAAATTCTCCTGTATCTAAATTTTTCAAAAATATGTTGTTTATTGATTTCTGAGTCCTGTGAAAGGGTGAGCAAATAATGCTCAGACTTGGAAATATAAAATAAACCTATTTTATCATACATATTGAGTTTTAAGTATGGTACGTCTCAATTGAGAACATCCATAGATAGACCACAGCATATAGACGTTCCATGAAAACTCATCCTGTAGGTATACATAAACATTTGACAATTAACCAAAAAAAAAAAAAATACCTTATATATTTTACATTTTATGGGTTAGTTACTGTTGAGGTAATTTATGTCTTGACTCTTGTGATCTCAATACTATTTTTTCAAGTTATCTGCCCTTTCAAGAGCAGCCTTAAGCATCAACATTATTATTAAGTCTGCATTACACAAAAAGTGACTATTGATTTCATTACTAAACACAATCGACATAGGTACTTAAATATTTTCACATAAAATAATAGTCCAGGAGGTGGCGCCAAAAATATGCAAGAGTTTTCGCAAGGCGGATATTTTCAAAATAGGTCGTACTTTAGTGCTAGAATGCTAGTGTACAGTCAGCACTCACAGTTCCGGGACAGCTGGCTCTGGGACGCGGGCAAAGTTGTAATTTTAAGTAGCATCTAAACTGTTTTCTCAAAGCTCAAAATTTATAGAAATTTTGCACATTATCTGTTTGAAGGTCACAGATAACGTATGTAAATCGTCAGACGTCTAGTTCGTTGCAAAAAGGGGGTCTCTCTACTCTAAACCAGTCGCAACATCGCTATTTTAAATAGAACACCCAGTATGTGATTGCATATTTGGATTCTACGTAAAATTCTGAACAGATTTCATGTGATATACCCTATACCTAAAGTAAAACAAAACAAAAAAAAATAATAATAATAAAAACAGTAGAATGTACTTAAACAATTTAAACACACTAAATACTAATTTAATACAGACAAAAGACTAGGACATTTTCCAAATTAATAAAGCCATCAGAAGGGCGGATTTTGTTTGTTTTTAAGTTTGGACTTTAAGGCATTGAGACTTATGTTAAATAGATCGCCATCAAATGAATTTGTTGTTCTCATTATCCTGGTCAGAGGAGAGTTCTGGCCTCGGTTCTGGCCATAGGAAGTTCTGTGAAATTTCAATTCAAACGTTTTACCTTCCCTCAAAGTTCGTGAAGGCACATGAAATTGGATTAATTCAAGTAATTCTGAACAGTCAATTTTAAAACATATCAAAGTATCTGATATCTCCCTTATCTTTTCTATACTGTGCAAATCTATAGTCTTTTCCAATAGTGTATAGCTTAAATTGTCAGATGATAACCCCTTCTTAAAAGCAATATATTTTAAAAACTTCCTCTGTACACTTTCTAACTTTTTTACATAGGTTTGAAAGAATGGATTCCAAATGACAGAACAATTTTCTAGCTGAGATCTAACTAGAGATGTGTATAATAATTTTATTATGTTTATGTCTTTAAAATCTTTAGTTGTTCTCTTGACAAAGCCTAACATATGCATGGCTTTGTTATAACAGTTCTCTACATGGGCAGAAAATGTAAGTTTATAATCTATTAATACCCCAAGATCTCTAATTATGTTCAACTTCTCCAAATATTTGTTATTTATTTTATAGCCATCTTGCTGTCGCAAACCAGATGATCTACTAAACTTAATCCACTTACACTTATCCACATTAAGGATCATTTTATTTTGATTACACCATTCAGAAAACCTATCCAAATCTTCTTGGAGTAGATTGGAACTATCATGATTTGTTATGCTTTTATAGACCTTCAAATCATCAGCGTATAAAAGAAATCTGGAGTGCACAAAGCAAGACTGAATGTCATTGATAAACAAATTGAATAAAAGAGGGGACAAATGTCCTCCTTGTGGTACGCCTGACCTCACTTTAATGGGATCGGACAGTGTATTTTCGATTTTCACAAGTTGCACCCTATCTGTCAAGAAAACTTTATCCAGGTCAAGAGATTCCCTGTGATTCCATAAAGTGACAGTTTATTTATTAGTAAAGTGTGATTTATCTTGTCAAATCCCTTTGAAAAATCGGTGTAAACTGAATCTACGTCATATCCCAGTTCAAGTTGATCAGTTATGAAGCTAGTGTACACTAGTAGATTTGATACTATTGATTTATTTTGCACAAAACCGTGCTGATTAGGTATGATTAAGTTTTTAGTACAACCCTCTAGGAAGTCTGTGATCATTGAATCCATTATCTTAGGTATCTGAGAGATTTTTGAGATTGGCCTATAGTTCTCTATGTTATTTTTATTCCCGTTGTTTTTTAAAATAGGAATTATATAGGTTCCTTTCCACTTTTGAGGAAAAATACCCATTGACAGTGAATTATTAAACAAGATCCATAATGGCCTTGCGAGAGAAAATGAGCAATTTTTTAAGAATATTAGGGAGACATTATCATGTTGTGTTGTTTTCTCTTTTTTTTTTTATAACTTAATGTTTTGTTTATTAGGTGCCCTGTCTAGACAGTGACACAATATGATTTATTGATTTAAGACATAAAGTTCGTTTCACCAGGGTTCATACTTGACCTTGAAACTTGAAAAAAAAAAGGGTTGCCGTCGATTAATTCATATGACATATTCAATTTTTTTGACAAATTAAAATGAATGACTTCTGGTTTAAGAACCGACAAACGTTTTTGACGTCATTTATTTGTTTCAGCGAATTTTTATTTATTAAACAAGGAAGGCAAATGCTGGTGGCAAGTACAAACCCTGGCGAAACAAACTTTACCTACCTGAATATATAGATTAGGAATTATTGTACCTACTGTAAAATGGCTTGTCCGTGAATAAAATTATCTTGAAAATTATATTTTATTCTTCTATTAATTATTAATTGTGTTTAGTTTGAATTGATTTCATTGTCAGATAAGCATGTTGATTACTTGCTCAACCTTGTACTGGTCATAAACATTCAGGGTGATTATTATTTAGTTTATTTCGATACTCAAAAATTATTATAGATGGCAGATAAAAGGTGTTATTTATGTTATCTTTTGGGACTATCAAACAAAATAATCGCCTATCACAATGTGAGGAAGCATTATAACATGGATTATGATAGTTTATGAAAAACTAAGAATGGAAGATTGCTTTTGCTGTAAAATCAACTGGACCTAAAATATAGAGTTTCCATAAAGGTTCTTCGGAATTCAGGACAAAGGAGGCAAGAAATCCGGACTTCGCTGAAAAATTATTTAATTTTTTTATAAAGGATGAAATTAAGTATGTCTTTTTTGCTTTTATGAGCAACACTCAAATCAAATTTGTATTGCATACGATGCATAAGACATCGGAATTGGCTTTTCCTTTTTTAATGGAAGGGAACGCTTTTCTTCCATTACTACGCACTTCCGTTTTAGCATCAATAAAATATACTCAATTTTATCATTAATATTTAATATTATAACAATCACATTGCATTGCGAGCAATAGCGCAGGGCCCACACTAACCATAGTTTAAACGGACTTAATGGGAATCCTGGGATTTACCGATACCGATAGTACTTATCGTGCGAATTCCCGATTAAAATCAACCATGAGTCAATATATTTCCATCTCACTCTATGTCATAATCAGTATAGTAAAGAAAGACGATTCCTCAAACTCTAACGAAAATTTAACGTCGGAGTGACACCCGAGTAGAGAAATGGGTTACATTCAAAAATGCTTCTGTCGGTATTGGTAGAGATTTGTATCAACGATTAAAAAATTTATTAACAAAGTTAGCTGGTTTTCACGATCTCCGAGTTTTTCGGACATTGTTCCGAATTCCGGCCGGACTTCCCCGGACACCCTAAAAACCCAAACATGTCCGGGAAAATCCGGACATATGCAAATCCTACTAAAATATTATCTTGTGTTACACCAACATGAATGAAAGATCTTTTTTTTTCCTGATTTCAAAAATGTAGGTATAATTTGCTGATGTTTGTGAATTATTTTCAGGCTTAAATAGTTATGGAAAATCAATCAGAAATTTTTATTTGTTATAAAACAATATAGATTTTTTTTTATTGGAGTATTAGTTCCAAAATCCTAAATTCGCCTTTCACATATTTTATATTTCTGGACTTTTTTCTAATTTAAATAATTTTTGATACATTTTCATGATGATACTTACTTTATCAAGAGTTAGCATTAGGCTAACAGATGATTTTATTAATCTTCTCTCTGACTCTTACTTAAAATAAAATCATATATGACTCAATTTTTCAAAAACACTAAAGCTCTACTTTAAATTTCAGTAATAGTGACCGAAAAGAACAGCATCCTTCTAAAATACATGCAACAGCATTGGGATAAAAAGGTAAAAGCTTCAAAACAGTTAACGATACTTGTTATAATAAATAAAATTTGTTTCAGAATGTAACTAAAAAACGAGAAACCCCTGCTACAGAAGAACCGAGTCGAAAAAGACCAAGATTAGAGCAATAGTAATATGGTGGATTAAAAAGTAAAAATATCCTTTTTATATGTTTTCTTATTTTAAATATTATTTATAAGTCGTTTTATGTGTAAATATGTTGAGAAGCTGTACAGTATGTATGTCCTTGGAAGAAATACAAGTTTAAGTTCATAAGGTTAGGTTGCATGAAGAATCTAATTATCTTTTTTTTTTTATAAAGTATACACGCTTTACATAGCTCCTATCACATATATGTATCGTTTTGTTGAAATATAGTTTCTGCTTTGAAGTATTATCTAGATAACAATTTTTATGTATTGAAGTCTGCAGACTCATGTTATAAAATCGAAATAAAGTTTTTTTTTTCTAGGATTTTATGTTTTAAATCAAAAACATGTTATGTACTTTAGTCCTATTATTATTTCCAACCTATTAAATACATAATGTTATAATACTAAAAAAAAAAAAAAAATGTAAAATAAACTCCTTTTCCTAATGTAAATTGTTTAAATGAAAATTTGCTGATTTTGTGTATAAACTAAATCCTTATTCTTAAGAGTACTAGCTAGGCATTCGTGGGATTTCCCGGGGAACCCACCACATCAATAATTTCACCCGGGTTTGGTTTTATATCAAGATCTGTATTAGTGAGCTGTGCAGGTATCGCTAAAGTCTGGAAACATGAGTTTAAAGCAAACATATTTTAATGCTGATTAAATATCTACCTTTCCAGGAGCCATAGCTTCATATTGATGTCGCAAAGATTGCAACTCGTAATCGCAAGTTGCCAGTGCCCCTTTAATTTCCAATAGAAGGACCATTTCACTTCTCAGTTTGTTAAAGCACTGGCAAATGTCCTCTGAAGCTGGAGGACTTTGTTCTGAAAATAAAAAATAAAAATTTCTTGTTAGATTATTGTCATGTGCCTACCTAATCCCAAGAACTGCAAAGATTGTTCGATTCCTTTGACTTTCTTTTGTCCGACGTTTGGTGGTAATTTCATCCTTTGAGATCGTAAAGATACTCCACTGTTTTTGAAGTCGGCGAATTTAATTCCAGCTGTTTCAACTGCCTGGAAAATGTACTAAAAAAAATAAGAGCGGATGAGATAAAATACATTTGTATGTGCAACTGAAATAAACCATCAGCTCGCTAAACTGAGGTGAGGTATTTGATAACTATACAAAACTGTACAATCTTAGAAAAATTGTACAATGTTAGAAAAATTGTTTGATTCATATTCCTAACTGAGAGGAAAATTGAAAAATTTTATCATTAAAAGTAGAAATCAGAAGGGACTTTTCTCAAGATAACTACTAGTAGTAATGTAACTAAAAAAATAATTTGTACTGTACAGGGTGACCCAAATTTGAGCCTCATCATTGGGATCTTGGTAACCATAAGAGATACGGGGTCGGCTAAATTATGGCAGAGTTGCGCAATTTTATGACCACTAGAATGCCATTTTGAAACTAGGAAGATTCCGAATACTTCCGGAGATATTTGGAAACAACCGAAATTTTGTAAAATCGTTTTTATTTTTTCCCGGGCTTATTTGAAAAACAATTCCAAAATTAATGTCACTTCATCATTGTCACTTTTTCCCCTTTAGAAGATGGTGCTACTAAATTTAAAATTCGACGTTTCGTCCTCAGGTGGCCATCCTCAAATTACGTTTTTTTAAATACGGACCTAGATTATTTATTTGCAATTTTATCATCTTCGGGCATTCTTAAACCGATACTGTTACAAAAATTTCAATAACATGGTAAAAAAAGCAAGTCCGTATTTAAAAAAAATAAATTGATGATGATTCCAGAGAAACGAAACGTTGGATTTCAAATTTAATACCGCCATCTTGTAGAGAAGCATTTTTTCCTGATTTTATTTAAAAAGATTGTGAAAAACTAATTTCACATTCCCATTGTCACTTTTTCTTCTCTACAAGATGGCGGTATTAAAATCCAACGTTTCGTTCCTCTAGAATCATCATCAATATATTTTAAATAAGTACGGACCTGCTTTTTTTACTGTGTGATTGAAAAATTATAAACAGTATCGGTTTTAGAATGCCCAAAGATGACAAAATCGCAAATAAAAAATACAGATCCGTATTTAAAAAAAGGAAGTTGAGGATGGCCTCCTGAAGACGAAACGTCGAATTTTAATTTTAGTAGCACCATCTTCTAAACGGGAAAAAGAGACAATGATGAAGTGACATTTATTTTAAAATTGCTCTTCAAATAAGCCCCAAAAAAAATAACGATTTTACAAAATTTCGGTTTTTTCCGAATATCTCCGGAAGCATTCGGAATCTTTCTAGTTTCAAAACGGCACTCTATTAGTCAAAAAATTGCGCAACTTTGCCATAATTTAACCAACCCCGTATCTCTTATGGTTACCAAGATCCCAATGATGAGGTTCGAATTTGGGCTACCCTGTACATACTAATAAACTAGTAAATAAATAATTGAAACTAAATTTAAATCTTAATTAACTAACAAGTTTGTAATTGGCTTTAACTAGAGCTTAATTACACTGAAATCGGATAAAAACTAACGGAGCTGTGAGGCAAAAACTGTCTGTGTCATTTTTGAAAAATTTTCAATGTTCGATAATTTCAATATTAAAGCTTCCCAGTTGGAACCAAACTGAAATCCTAATTAATGGGTTTGTAGAGAATTTGATTGGCTTTAACTGGAGCTTAACTACAGTGAAATCGGATGACAATTAACAGAGCTTTGAGGCAAAAATTCTTAGTGTAATTTTTTAGAAAATTTTCAATGTTCAATGAATTCAATTTTGAAGTTTCTCAGCTGCAAAACTGTCTCAGTGTCATTTTTAGCAAATTTTCAGTGATCCATAAACTCAATTTGAAGCTCTTGAGCTGTAAAAGTGTTGGAACCAAATTAAAATCTCGATTGATAGGTTTCTAGAGAATTTGATTGGCTTTAATTTAGGCCTAATTGCGTTAATAGGTCTGTTTCTGCAGAAATCACAAACTTGTCGGAGCGAATTTCATTGGTTGAAAACAGTCAGAAAACTAGTTTCAACCAATGAAATTCACTCTGATTGGTTTGTGATTTCTGCATAGAAACAAACCTAATATCGGACGAAAATTGAAGGAGCTCTCAGGCAAAAACAGTCTCAGTGTCATTTTTGGAAAATGTTCAATGTTCAATAAATTCAAATTTGAAGCTTTTCAGGTACAAAACTGTTGAAACTAAATTAAAATCTTAACTAATGGAATTGTAGAGAATCCAATTGGCTTCAACTTGAGCCTAATTGCGTTGAAATTGGATGTAAATTGAAGGAGCTGTGAAGCAAAAACTGTCTCGGTGTCACTTTTAGCAAATTTTCAATGTTCGATAAATTCAATTTTGCAGCTTCGCAGCTGCAACAATTTTGTCTAGCTAAGTAAACACAAAAACCCAATAAAAACTAATAACCTGCAAAAACCAAAAAACCCAATAGAAATTTGGAAAACTTGGGTTTTTCCTAACCCTGATTCAAGCGAAAATTTCAAGAGACTAAGATTGATTTCCAATTAATCCAGAAAAATTATATACATATTGGTGTGGCTTTTATATAAATAGTCTCTTACATTAGTATCAACTCTTGGCCTTGCAGGATTAGGTACTTTCTTTTTGGGTAATTTTTTGTCAGATTTTCTAGGCATGTCGTTTTGACTATCAGCTTGGCTAATAAGTTTTTGTAAATCTTGCGTTTTTCTGTCCCTTTCCTTCTTCCTGGCCTCTATTTTTTTCATTTCTCCAAGCAAAAATTGTTCTTCTTCAATCTAAAATTAATTTTGTTTATTGAAGAGTTTTTTTCAAATTACATAATTGATTACCTGTTCTATTGTTCTCTCAAATAATTTACCTAACTGCTCTTTACGTTTTTTTTCGTGCTCCACATCATAAACATAGAGTTTCTTGTCACCATTTAACTGAAAATTACTAAAATAATAAAAATGATTTTAACATAATATTAATATTACTTTGCCAAGGATCCCTTGAACTTTATAATATCGATCCTTTATGTCTTCAACAGATCGCTTTGTAACTCCTTCAGTATTATATCTATCAGCCATAATAATAAATCTACAATCAAATCTTTGGGCCAAATCGATTAAATTATCAGTTTCTTCTTTCGTCCAATCATCGCAAGTCAAATGTTGTTGATACTCATCATCTGTGTAAGTGAATATTTCTACTTTCTGGAAAATGTTAATCATGTATTTAGGTTAATTAAAAATGTTCAATGTTACTTTGTTAAATTGAGCAAACGGATACTCTCTAGGTTCATCACTTGGTCTTCGCCAATGGTGAAAAACAGCATCGTCTGTTCTGGCTGGATTTTTAAAAGGCATCCACTTCCATTTTCTTGGTTTCCGCATACCAAGTTTAATTTTCATTTGTTTGTATCCATCAGCTTTAATTATTTGGATGAGATAAGAGCCTCTTGAGAAAAAAATATTCACCTGTATCTGAAGGAAATATTGGTGGCATATCTGCATCCTTGGAAAGCAAAGCGAAAACTTCTCTGTGCATTCCCTCAGGACGTTTTGCCGGTTTGGCACCAGAAGAATATCTTTTCTTGGGTTTGTCCGAGCCAGTGATGGATTCACGAGTAAGCTCTGGAGTGGCAGGACTTTCCAGCTCCAAAATATCTCGTATGTCAGCCATTTTTGATGATTTACTTTGCAAGCTAATCTACAAACGCTTGATTACAGTAATTTCAAGATTTTTTTCAATAGACTAGTAATTTATAATTGAAAGTACAATCTTAATATTAGGAGTTTTTGAAGGAAGAATGAAAACTTATTGTAGGTATTATTTGTTATAAGTGTAGTCTTGGATATTATTGAATCCTCAACTAGTTCGAGAGGAGGTTGTTGGTGAATACCATCATTACCATCTATATCAAAAATGGTTTATGTTACAATGAAAAAGGAAAAACAGATTTAAAGTATGCAGAGACAAATGTATTTTAATTAATTGTATAGCATGGTAGTGAATGAATAAATAAATAAATAATATACACAAAGGTAATGAAGTGTATATTTTCAATTCCATAGTGAACCTTTCTTGTTTGAGCAAAGTAAGTGCTACTGCGGATTTTGTTCCACAATTCGGTACAGAATTTTTTGCTATTTTAGAAAAGGTATTAAAAATTCAAATTCATAACTAATAATTTAATATGAATGGGCTTTAAATTCATGGATTTCAGTTTAACTAAAAAAGAGAGTAAACTTATCCAAGTTCCTAAGGAGATGATGGGCCACTTTGGTCTCTGTAAGAAGGAAGTGTAGTCTGAATCAGCCTTAAATTCAATAATTCAACAAGTTTGCTCTCTAAGAAAGGGAAAGGGAGTAAATAAATGCTTAATAATGTGAGTAATGGTTAAGAAGGTACTTTAGGAAATAATTAGCCCCTTTTCGCAGGGAATACAGTAAAATTACACACTTTTGTCTCGAAACTGTAAGAATATTCCATTGTATTGCAATGCTAGAAAAAGGTTTGAATTAAAATTAAAATAACTCACCAAAAAATATGAAATATCAGTTACGATACAGCTTAAAATTTGATATAATTCTAGAAATTTTTCTCAAATCAAATGTTACCTTTTATATTTCTCACAAACACTTGATCAATTTAAAAAATAACCCCTTAAACCAAAACAAACAAATGTCATGTTAGCGAATCAAGATTCTTCTTTTTTGATAATTACCTGTCTGGCATCAACCAAGTATGGGCATCAACTACAATTACGTCTAATAGCGTTTTCGACTTTTGCCTCAAAACCCGATTGATCAAAAAGCGGAGCGCTCTTTCTTGCTCCGTCTAATTGTATGGATCAAAGAGTTTGATCAAAACAATAAAGTATGTTCGGCTATTGATTTTCCAAGGGTGTGCCCTCGTTTGGATTATAATAATTGCTCCCCGAGCACTCCCGCAGAGAACTGTGACGTCAACGCCTAGACGGGGATCACTCTGGGAGCAGTAAAGCCGAAAATTAGGCGTATTTTAGCGACAGGTAAACATCATACTACACATACTACGATTCATGACGTCATAGTTACCCAAATAACAGCTGGAATGTATTCGACAAAGGGTCTAAAAGAGGACGCTATGATTGTCGTTTATTTGGGTTTGTTGAATTTTATAAAATTTTGCGTTTTCGAGTTGCAATATTATTTCTTCAGTGAAGATTTTCGAATATTTTCGATAGATGTGGTATTTTTGAATTTTATGGGGACCCCATGACAAAAAAATAAATAAAATTACATTTTTGTGCACAAGTGAAGATTTTTTTTTTTGCAAAAAACCTCTAATAAAATCACAGAAAACCATGGAAAAATGGGGAAAAACAATCCTCTATTTATAATAGAAAGATCCTGTGTCGGTAATCGTAGTCAGCTGTTTTGCCCAATATGCTCATTTTAGTCATTTTCGTGTATTAGAAAAAGATGCACTGACATACTACAACCAGTAACTATCCTTCGTAGGATGGTTACATGTTTACAGCCGAGTTTTATGTTGTGTTTTATGTTGTGACGTCATAGTATGTCAGCAATGATCGCTAAAATGTAGTATCCCAAGTAAATACAACATACTACTGGGTTAAAACTCTCGCTAAAATACGCCTATTATAATCTGGGACCGGACCGGAATAAAATACCGGTTCCGTTCCGGTTCTGGTCTACAGCGTCACTACAAATATCGGTTCCGTTACTGAGAAACATTTCGATTCGGTTCGGACCAATAATTTCGGTTTTAAAGGTTCATACCGGTATAGATTTCACAAATCTAACATAAAAATTTATGTTTCTGTAATTTGTGGTTTATTTTTTATCGGATTTCTCTGCCTATCTGCAATAATTTTAAAAAATAATGATACATTTTTGTGTTTTCGATCAGTTAATTAATAAAAATCTCAATTTCTTTCTCCACCACGCTAAAGTACCAGTGAGACGTAGGCCGCCTGTTGTTTTTTGCCTTTACGTAGGGTGCTTGCACCACACGTTATGCTCGCGCTGATTTTTGCTTTGTGCATATTTGGTTTTGGTACATTATTTTAATATTCTGAAACAACCTTTGTTTAGAACTCATTGGCATCTTTCTCTTGCCTATTTTGTTAAATAAAATTAAATGATATTTCCATCATAAATGTATATTATTAACCACGACCGCTGGTGCAAACCGCTAACGAGACCGTCGCCAACGGTGCAACATCATATGAACTTGATTCCAAAAATCGAGGTTGATGAGCAATACTGTAGTGGTGTGTAATATCATTGGTTTAGCCTAGCGGAGTTCAGAAATGCGCTTTCCAACGCTCTGTTTTTCAGAATGTTAAATTTATGACGATACGACCCAAGATTGTTTGAGAGAGGTAGGTTGCCTTGCCTGATAACCTCATTACGTCATCGGGGGTCAACATAATGCAATTCTCCATAGGTACTTCAGATGTGTCATCAAGTTACCCATAACCAGGCTACCTATTAACTACAGGAACCTTGGATACGGCCAAACACCAAACCAATGAACTATGAAATAACACGTAACCAAATAGGATTGCTCAACCTAGTAAAGGTCGCGACACACCTATCATGCATTCGTCCGATCCGACTCCGATCATACAATCCGTGCGTTCGTTATTTTGGTCTGAGTTCTCCGAGCTTGACTTTACCGTTCGTTTATTTAAAAAGTGTACTCGGTGCAGCCTCATTCGCGTTCGTTTATTAAAATTTCCGGTACTTTTATACAGCGTTCAACTGCTCCCTTCGCTCGCTGGTCACGTGATTACGGCTCCGCTCAGCTCGCTCTACACTTTGAGCAAAATACCGAACGCAAGGAATATCGGACGAGTGCCTGAGAAGGCACTGGTAGAGTAAAAATCAAACGAGAAGAAGCCACTGTCATCAGCGCTGACAAAGAAAGCAGATTTCCTTTTCTCTGCGTCCCTACCATTTAAAGTGAGACAAGCGATAACCCGTGTGGCTTCTTCTCGTTTGATTTCTACTCTATTTACACTTCAAACAGCGTAGTTAACACAAGGTTAACACCTTTCCGGCACTTGCCCAGTCTCTCCCAACTCCCAACCGACTCCGATCCTGCATCCGATCATGGTCCGATTGTGCAATCTATTCGTTTTCCATCTGTCCACGTGTCGCTTGGTGTTTGTGCAAGTTTTTTGTGGTTTCTTGCTAAAATGGAAAAAAAGAATGCTATGAGGGAAAAGTATAGAAAACTCTGCTTCTGCAAACCAACCTTTCCAAGCAGCATGTACCCAAAATCTGCGTTTTCAGCTTTTCTCCACAAAAGATCTCTAATTTTCATCATCTACTTCTTCTAAACCAAGTGCCACCATGACTATATCGCAGTTGCTGAAAATTTTGAATATTTTGCATACGCGGGACCTTCTCTGCGATATTAATTGAATCAAGAATGGCGAGTGGCGAGTGTTACAAGCCAGAGCCAGAAATCGGAAAAAAACCGGAAACGAATATGACGTGTGCTCATCCCTTTCCGATCCGACACCGATCCGATTTTTAGGGCAACATCGGACCGGAGTCGGATCGGAGGGGTTTATGACAAATGTGTCCCGGCCTTAAGGCGTACGTTCGCCAGTTCTTGAATCGGCAGCGTCTGCGTTGACCTACATCAATGGCGGTGACTGATAGTGGTGACGTCATCTGCAGACCTCGATGGATTACTTGCGATTCACTCAGTGCTAGTGAATTAATTTTTTTGTCGATTTCAAATTTATATAATTGTTTGTTGTTATAAAAGGGGATTTTAACGGTTAGGAATTCGTTTTTTTTTTAACATGGCCGAAACCGACCAGCTCCGCAATCTTCACTCCAAAGGTTCGTTGGACAGAGTATAGTAGTAAAGTGTATAATCCTTGTGTGAGAACAGACCTGGGACCTACACTTGAACCAAAACCAAACCAAGATTTTTTGAGAGAGGTAGGATAACTTTATGATGTTATGTGGAATGCCTCAACATAATGCGAATCTTCAAGGCACCCCAGATGCGTCATCAAGTTACCCATTATCAGGCAACCTATTAAATTAACTTCAGGAACCTTGGACGAAAACAAGTTTACAACAATCTAAAGAAAAAATTGCACTAGTTCCACACTAGATCTACCAATCGGAAATGCCATAATAAATATTATAGCGATTTGACGCAAGGTTAATACATCTCTGTCCTAGATAATACAATCTAGGATGAAATTCTGTTGTGGTGAATGCCTGCGCAGCAAGTTATCAATTAGTTTATTTGTTATTAAGGTACCTGCAGATAGCCTATCCTCATAAGGACTCCTCTCTGTAGTTCAAATCTCAAGCCTCCCACCATTCCAAAGCACCAGTGATGACGTTGAAAATGTGTCGTTTCTCGCCTTGACGTAGGGTATTTGCATCACAGGTTATGATTTCCAAGGCTTTTGCTATGCCTACTTGGGTCGGTTTCTCAGCGAGTCACCTCCGGGTTGGTTTTAATTCCAGGGTAAACGTGTCCAGTTGCAATGTTTACCCTGGCGTGATGCATAGCCCGGGGATGACTTACTATTAAGAAACCGGCGCTTGGTTTTACTACAATAATTAACATTCAAACAACTCTTTTTTAGATCTTGTTTTCATGTTCCTCTCTGCCTATTTTGTTAATCGAAATTAAATAATATTTAGGTCTGTTCGGGCCCCAGGGGACCGATTCTCGTCTCAGGGAGTAGACCTCCCCAAGTCCAAGTGAACAAATTTTTCGTCTTTATCATTCTCGTTCACTTTCCGATTACGTTGACAAGGACAAAACGTTCGTTCCATCGGGAAACTCTACTCCCTGAGACGAGAATCGGCCCCCTGACAACCGTAAAAGCAACATTACATTCAAATTGCAATCAATTGAAATTGAATGTGTAGGCACCTTCACGGTCGTCAAGTTTGTTATGCCCACGTCGCTATGATCTGCTGATTCGGAACCTCAATGTTCGAGACAAATGACATTCAATAACCCTTTTCACGTGCTCCGGTTTAACAAACCACAACATACCGCTGAAATTCGAGTGGTAGGTATCCATCACGTCACTTTGTAACCAGGGCTGGGATCACGACAAGTAGAATTCTACTTTCATGACGTCACCCGCGACCTATTTTGTCGCGTAGTATAGGTGATGATGACGGTTGCTAGGCAACCTGACGTCATGAAAGTAGAATTATAATAGAATTCTACTTGTCGTGATCCCAGCCCGGGTTAGAGAACGGTATGTCATTTCTCTAACCGTTTTATAACCCGGTTAGTTAAACCGGAGCCACGTGAAAAGAACTATTGCAAATGATTGAACGAATGACGTTCGTTGTTGGCTGAGTTTGGCTTTAAGGCGGTTACACACGGACGTGGATGTCTGAAAACATGTACGGACATACATGAACGCGCAAACAAAAACATCAATGTGTATGCAAAATACCGTCGCGTTTTTGAATGTGCAATTTTGTATGCACACTCGGAATACTGTAGCAAGAATAGCAAGACTGCAGTTTTGTGCGAGCGTCTGTACAAAAGCGCCATGCACGTTGTTGTTTGCACGTTGATATATGCACGTATATGTATTAAGACATCCACGTCCGTGTGTAACCGCCCTTATACTCATGGCGATTTCCATTTTTCAGTCAGTGCGCACTGAGTTTATCCGCATCTTTCTCTAAAAGCATGTTTTTTTGTTTTTTTTTAACATGCAAGTACATCATTTTTGCACTGGTTCGACAAATGGAAATCGCTATCAGTAAATTCCGAGCGCGCTCGAAACGATTAGATCCTGTCGTTTTAGCTCTCGTAGAGTGTTTTTTTTTTTGCGATGGGCTTATGACCGCGTATGACATCACGATATCCATGCTCATATCGTTCCTTTCTATTGAGTGCAAAGCTGAACTCAGCCAATATAACAAATTTATATCGATATGCACCATTATCGAGGGCGTATCGATATATTGTTCTATCGATAAGCTGGCCTCTACAATGAGCTATTTAAACTTAAACTTAAGCTAGTTTCCTCCAATGAAATATTTTGCAGACAAGTCTGCAGCCTCCCATAATACCTATAAAAAAAATTAAAAGAATATTAGGGAGAGAGAGAAATAAATATACAGGGTGGCCCGTTTATTTTGTCCTATCTCGGTGTATGGAAATCTAGATATTTTATGAGAAAAAGTTTTATACAAAAGTTGTAGGGTTTAAATCATCAATTTGTTTTTTTGTATGTTTCCCTTTGGTCAGAGTTCGACTTTAAAATAATTATTTTCAACGTCTAAAGTTTCTACAATAATCTAAAAATAAGCCATTCCGCGAAGATAACCGTAAATGAATACGAAACCGTGCAACAACCTTATGAAACTATACCTATACATTAGGATTAGGTATATTTGGTCTTTGAAAGCTCTATCAAAAAATATAAAAATATATAGGGTGTTCTATTTAAAAAAATTAAATCTGATGTGTCGCACTTTTTTGATATGCGTAAATACAAAAAAAAAAAAACGATTTAATCCCCACAACTTTTGTATAGAACTTTTTGTCATAAAATATCTAGATTACCATATACCGAGATAAGACAAAATAAACGGACCACCCTGTACAATCTAGGATAAAATTTAAAATTCTGTTCAGTGGTGAATGCCTGCGCAACAAGTTACAATGAGTTTATTTATTTGTTTAATGTACCTACTTAAGATAAATAAAGATATTATTTAAAACCTTTTGAAACTTTTGGATATTTGAAAAAATATTTAATTATTAGTTTTATAATTTTTACCTATTGAAAACTTTATCCTTGGGTAAAAAAAATGAGCATTAAAGACCTAATTTTATCCAAAGATACAGAACCAATAACATATTTCGTGAACTTTTACAAAATAACAAAACCCTCATCGAACATCACCGACGAATCCACTTGCAAAATCCTCAAAACCAACGACCTAATTCGCTGGAAAATACAAGGCGACGAATTAGTTAAAATATCATCGAAAAATTTAGGAATTTTCTTCGACCAAGAATCTTATATAATCCAATGGCTTTTCGATTTGAAAGTGGACAACACTATTTTAAAAGAATCGCTAGTTTATAATTGGAAAGGCCAGAGCGCTACAAAAGGATATTCTCCTTTACCATCTGAAATCGAAGAAAATTGCCCAGTGGAACGTATCGTACAATGGAGCGAACCAGCATTATTCTTTCATGGTTTTCCCGGAAGCCTTTTCACATTCAGTGGCCAAGAAAACGCATTTAATAGAAACGCCCCACATTTGATGTTCATACGAGGCGAGGTTTCAGAAGAAATTCATTTATATGAATTACCTTGTTTAAAACAAACCTTGAGAAGCCGAGCTACATTTTTGCTTATAGCACCAAAACACAAATTATTTTTATATTGGCATGGAAGCAAGTCAATTAAAGTCAATATTGGAAAACCTCATGAAGATTTAATTAAATGGGAAGAAAGTTGGGCAGACTTTTCGGTGCAAAAATTAGAGGAATTTAAAGAAACTTCAGCGTTTAATGACATAGTAGAAGGAGCTGATTTAGGTTTGCAGAAACCATTATTAAAATCCGATTTTAGTCCAAAACTTTTTTATTTAAATTCAATAACTGGAAGATTTTTAGCTACCAAAGTAGAATATCCTCTAAGGGCTGACAATGTAATTGCACCTTTTCCTTTTCTTCAAAGTCACCTTTATACAGCTGCACAACCTGGTAAGAATTATTAACAATTTTTTTTTTGTATTGTTATTTATTACATATTTTAAGCCATATTTCTACTAGACAACGATACCGATGTATGGTTGTGGAAAGGACTAGTAGACGATTCCAATAATGAAGCTTTTAAAGCAGAATTGAAGTTTGCAAATGAATTAGCAGAAAACTACGTTAAAGAAAAGGAAGTGATTTTATCTGAAAATGTTACATTACATTTTGTGTCTGCTGGCAAGGAACCTGCAGATTTTAAAGTTATTTTTCCTTTTTGGAAAGATTAAGTTTGTCCTATTTACATATAATTATTTTATATCAATGGAAAATGATTTAAAAAAAAAGTAAAACAAGCCTTATCATCAATGAATATATTCATGAGATTACACAAGTCGTTTACATATTTATGTCTAAGTTTTTTTACAGAACAATGAATTATGTAAATAAAACATTTAGGTACAAATTAAAGAATTTGGGCTAGAGTAACTAAGTACAAATAACTAAACTTAATGGTTGTTTTCAACTTAACAATAGTTTACAAACTTAAAACGACATTTCAAAAGGAACATAATCAATGGTATCAGCAACTCAGATACTTTTCTATCACTATCAGAATTAATAATTGGGATATCAAGAATGGATTTAGGTGACTAAATATTTACCTAAATTAACTTATAATGCAACAAGATCCATTATGTAAAAGCATCCTTTATATTTTGGAAATGTCTCACTGCCAAATCCACAGGCAAATCAAACTTATACTTAGTCAACTGGTCTAAACTTTTCAAGCTATCCTGAAATCCTGTCTTGGCAACATAGCTCCAAGGCAGATAATATTCTTTAATCAACTTATTACATGTAAATAGTAAGTTTACCCATGGCGCAAGCTTGTTAGCATTTAATGCTGCACATATGAAGGCTTTAAAATGGGAATCATAACTTCTTTTATATGGACTGTGGGAGGATATTATGCTTCCTATGGCACAAAGCATGTTATGCTTATTACTATTTGGTGAGGCGCCAGCTATATCTAAATTAAAGCTTTGAGACAATTTTCTGGCCGGTGTCGAATTGAATTTGTCTCCATTTTTCATGTGGTAATATTCTAAAATAAGTTCCCAGGCATGTATTTCAGTGCTGGAAGCGGAATGTCTTCTTGGAAAACACCCCATAAATGGTACCAAGCTGTTACTTTGAGCCGAACAAGAACCATGTTGAATTAAATCTCTTATACATGGTACCAAATATTTTCTAACTGCAGCTGTAAGTTGTATATTAGAAGGAGACATTGACTGGCTTTCAGAATCGCTACTATAATCCCGATTTGTTGAATATGAAGGCTCATTTTCCCTAGCTTCTGCCAACTCTTTAACATGTCCAATTGCCATTTCAAGTTTGGCCCTTAAATCACCCCAATGATTAATCTTCATTGTATTCTTCAAATCATTTTTTCTAAAACGAGATTTTACTCCACAGCCCAATTGCATTAAAGCAAACATTTGCAAAATAGTAACGGTTTTCTGTATAATACCTAAAGTAGTTTCGCTAGGGAAAGGCTTTTTAACTGAATGATATGCACAGCCGCAGCTGCAATTTTGATGTTTGTTGCCGTCATTTTGCTGCAGATAACCTATAAAACGTTCCAAATCAGCGACTTGTGTCTTAAGTTGAGCTACAAGATGCTCTTTTAGCTTTATCGGGCTAACAAGTTGATCTACAGCTATGTTTATTTGTTGTTTTACAGCTTCTGGAGTCATTTGATGATAATTTTGTTCATCTAATTCTAAATTCATTCTGGTTTTTAGTTCATTCAATATAACTTGCTGTCTCTCTAGTAAAACATCCTGGGGAATTCCTGCTTCGCCGCTTTCAAATGCATATTGCTCCAACTCTCGCAACTGGCTCTTGAGTCTGTCAATTAGTTCTCTTTGTTGTGTTCTTCTCAGTCTTACCGCTTCGGCCAAACTGGCTTCATCCATTTTTTCTTTGACAAAACTAACGTCTGGTATTCCTCGAAAAACAAACTCTTCAAGAGATTTGAGAAGCTCTTCTCTGTATTCTGGAGAGGAACTCATTACTTGACGTAAACGAAATTGAACTTGAGCAAAGTGCGTTGTTAAAGCAAAAAGGGACGAGTTTAAAAGCTCCTGTTCGTCTTCCATGCTTCGAATTTTTTCAATAGCATATTGATGGTGCTCGTCGCAGAAATTTATTTTATTGAAATCGAAATCGTCTTCATCACTTGGTGCTCCCAATGGGTCCCAACGTTCTCCTGCAGGATGTTCATCCTGAGGATTATCTGAATTAACTTCCATGTTTTTCTTGTAATATTGGTGCTAGGAGTTTAAAAAGTATCTTTTCTTATTTAGTTTTTTTCCAAACTACTACATGGTTGTTGTTTGTGGGCAACCAAATTGCCAAAGTCTAAAAGTAAAAATAATTAAATAAGCAACTTATTTTAACTAGGAATAATGAATTTTCGAAAACATATGCCATTTCCTGCAATGGTAGAAAAATTTAAATTGAAATGGTGTTTTCTTTTTCGATTTTCAGAATATAATCCAAATAACTTGCCTATTACTCACATAGAATTGTGTTAGAAGTGTTTCATGCTCATAGACACCAGTTTTTATTCTCTCACACTAAACCAGCACTTATTTTATTGTATTTGAATAAAAAATCAATAAAACTGCACAGAGCACCCACATTACTTCACAGGAAAGCAAAAGCAAACAAGCAGAGGTAAATATAACCTAGTCTTTTGTTTATTATTTGTCAAAATTACTAAAGATTTGTCGTTCTTAAAATCAACTAATGGCTAAACTCATGCAACTGCCGCATTTGAATAAATAAATTATATCACTTTTTGCTTTCTAAATATGGTAAATATTCTGATAAGGATTCCCTTAATTTGAATTTCCCGCCGGACGAAAAGTCACTGCGGACGCGCGAACGGTCTCAAACCACCAAAAGCTACGTTCCAGTATTAATCCTATCAAGGGTTTAGAACAAGAACACTAGAGCTGCTCGCTCCGGTGTTAGTCGACCCCAATTTGAAAGGAACAGGTGCGCTGGCTTTCGTGCAATTAATAAAAAACTAATAAGCAGCGTGTAAACAACTTTTTCTCACACTGTGCGAAAAACTCTATTTTCAGAGGTTGCCTAGCGTGTGAAAAACTCCATTTTTCAAAGGCAGTTGTAGGAAAAATTCTAAACATAACACAAAAACCAATAGTTTTCCAGTATCCAATCTGCCAAGCCGCGGTGCCTGAACCACCTGCATACAAAATATGAAACACTGAAAACTGTTATTAGAAAATATAGTACACCTGCTGAATAAGGTTTTCCAATAACCAATAATAACCAATATCCAAGGACACACGAGAATCGGGCAGATTGACTGCATTCAAATGGTTGATTTCGGGCTTGAGCACTCAGGTGCAACAAACACTTTTCGAAAATAACAAGCGAGTAACGCCCTGGAGCTCCTCCTAAAAATAGTTGTGAAAGGAATACAACTACTGAGGCACTAGCGGTGGGGATAGACGACCCCAGGGCTTGACATCCCGATTAAAAAGAACGGAAGTTTACATTTCAAAATCGTGATCCTGGGCGCCCTGGGGCGCCCAAAGCCTCTGAGAAGAAAGCAGCTTTGAAAGGAATACAACTAGTCGAACAACGGGGCTACAAACGCGTTTGCAAACAATAATGCAAACCGGTTAGTGATTCGATTGCCATTCGGTTCGTTGTTCTGTTTGTGGTTCGGCCTACGGCTATTTGCACTGCTGCAACTTAAGGGATCTGCTCCCGATTAATCAAAAAAGCGATCCAAAATGGATTCACCGCATGTTCGGCTTTAAACTTAAAACGGAGCGTTGCTCTCGGAAAAACTCACGTGTTCGACTTGAGCAATAGAACAATCTGAAATCTCGGATGCACGCTCCTTCTTGCTACGCCAAATTCGATGTATCAACACAACAAGGTGGGTTCGGCTTGCTCACTCCTTGCACTCCGAGTGACTCCATTCGCACTCCAGCCCATCGAGTTAAGGTTCGGGTATTGCTTTTTACCGTATTAGGGGTGACTCCATTAGCTCTGTTCACTCCACTCCAACTCCGCGCTGAATAGCCGAACCCAGCTACAGTATCAAAGAGTGAAATCAAAACAATGATATAACCGAACTTTTTGATATTTTTATTTTGAGACATATTAGGCATTCCAGGTCACGTGACTTTTGACAGGTCCGCCATATTAGCTGAGGGGCAAACAGCCTATAGATCATTGTTTACAATGTTTTTTGAGTTTGTGCTTTGGAATTTTTGCGTTTTTTGATTTATTCAATACAAACAATTTATTAACAAAAATAATGCTTAAGAATCTAAATTGTTTAAAAAATAAAAAAGTTTGATACTAACAACCTTACAAATAAACTTTAGCAAAATAAAAATTTGTGGTAGAATGACTCCTCAAACGTTTTGACTGTTCAGTGTTCTGATCGGTGCACAGATCTGGCATGTAGCTTAGCTTACTGGCTTGTTCATTCTGGGCTTCTATCAATTATCGTAGTATATCCTAAATTTGTACTGGGGACCCAATCCGGATTGTTTGTATCCTTAAATTCTGCTGGACTACCTAAAAGGTATTAAAAGTTACCTATATACTTGTAGAAACATAAACAACTAGTTAGGGAGACGACCGAATTTTTCCTACCCCGATCGAGTTATGTGTCGACACTATTATCAATATATAGTATTATGTGCATCTATTAACCGGTATTCCTGCCTGAGAGCAAATGCTGCCGGAAATATCTTTTAACAAATTATTAAAAAATTGAAAAAAACGTAACACTACCCCCATCGAGTTATGCCCTAAGTAGGGTATCAGATTGAAGGTCTCGATGTCCCCTATCTAAAAAGTCGATCCTGCCTCGTGAGAACTTGCCGGCAGGGCAGCTTATTGGGGCAAGGGCCCGCGGTCTCAGCTTTGACACCTATCAAGTTTTACCCTGAATGATGTGTCAAATTAAAGGTGTTATAAATTGATTTAAGGGCTCTTCGCACAGAAATCCCAAACCAGAAGGAGTGAATTCCATTGGTTGAAACTAGTTTCCTGACTGTTTCCAACCAATGAAATTCGCTCTGACTGGTTTGTGATTTCTGTGCGAACAGACCTTTTACAGGCAAATCTCCCCTATTGGGGCATCTAATTCACATACTCCGTTGTTTTTTTGATAGCTCGTTTATGCGATCCCCTCGATCTTTAAATGCTGCTGGAATCCTAAGAAACCTCACTTTATCCCTTTCAGCTCTATTGGAGCACCCAAAAACGCCACAAAACGAAGGCATCTTCACAAACTAATACTTCAAAAATTCTCGGTTTGCATTGAAAATAGGCCGTGGCTAAAGTAACAGAGGTGTTACTATAATTATTTTTTTAAAGTAACATCAGTTCAATGACGTCACTGATATTACTTTTAATTGGGGTTATAGCAGAGACATGAGTATGAAATGGACTAGGCGTACGGCACGAACAGTGATGTAAACATGGTAGGCAACCCTAACTGCACATTAGGGGCAGAAATCCGCGCGTACTTGTTATACGTTAGTGTAAGATACGCGATTTGTTGTAATTTTTTGTTTTCTGATGAGTCGTCATCACTTTTACTAAATAGAAAAGATCTTGAGGGATTACGTAAGGCATCAGAAGATGTAATAAAACTGTGCAGTTTAGCCGAAATAAAATTTCGTACTCATTACACTCCAAACACTACACTCAAAAAAATTATAATATGGACCATGAGTGACATACATTCACAATTATTTTAAGGAGCTTAGTGATCATATATTGGACCAAGATCCTATTAATAATCATTTATCTCAGCTGATCAACGCAATTTTACGTGTTTATTTTCTCGTTAGAATCCATTATCAGAATAAGGAAGCAAGTAGAATCACTGATAGAGTTAGGCAAATGTATACAAAACTTGTAATTTTTAAGAACCAGTAGAATTAAAATCAGTTTTGCATCTAAATCCTAAATTTAAGTTTACATATGAGTATTTGTACCTTACAATCTAGTATTTTGTGCCTTTGAATTTGCTCAAGAATTGTTTAGGAATAACAAGTTTTTTTATCTAACGTTTAAGTTTTGTTTTATTTCTTTGCCTCACAGGTCTGCACAAAACACATACATTTAAGCACGTCTGGTATTTAGTTTGATACACTATGGATAAGTAATTATATGTCACCTTTAAATGAAATTATGTGTTATTTCTCGTTGTGGGTAATGCGCTTGTGTAGCTTCTTGCCCACAATGCGAAAGACTGGTTGCCTAACCATCTTTCCATCACTGCCGCGTACGGCAACTATACGGAACACGCAGTCCATTTCATACTCATGTCTCTGGGTTATAGTAACAGAAGTGTTACTAGGTACTTTCTTTAGCAATTTAAACTTTAAAGTAAAGGTGATATTCAACAACATTGACAGCGGTTGTTGAAAATTTCGGTTTCATACGGAACGCTTTTCCAATCGCAGAATCGCCGCCGGTTGCCTTGGTGACATGTTTGACATAACCAACCGCGTTCCGTATAGACCGGTTTTTCAAGAACCAGACATTACGGAACGTGTAACCGTAACCAAGGTTGACAACGGAACCCACCCTTAGAAAGAAAAGCCATCAATTTTAGCTTGTACACAGCCCTCTACACTTACAAGCCATGAAGTTGGAAATAACGGCAACGTCGCCAATGGTGCTTTTTTGCTATTGAGGTTATATGTTTCTGTGTATTGTTTTCATTGTTTATTGCTAGAGTGAGGTGCATTTTCAAACGAAAAAGTGGCTAGAAACACCAATATATTGTTTACTTACTGTTTATATTTGGTTTATACCTGTTATGCCATTATTAGTTGTGTTTTGATTGTGAATTTATAGCAAATACTGCAATCGGTACAGGAGCAAAAATTAAGGTGAGTTAAGGTAAAAGCAAATAAAAACAATATAATATTTGTTTCCACTTTGCAAAGTGCAAGAGCACATGTATAGGTCTCGATATTATTATTATCTAAGATATTTAAACTTGTTCCAGATGCCAAGAAACTGCTGTGTGCCGAGGTGCAAATCCAACTATAGGAGTTCCCTGAAGACTGAGGAACTGCAAACAACATTTTCATTTCCAAAAACTTCCGAATTACAGAAATTATGGCTAAAAGCTATACACCGAGATAATTATACGGTAACAAAAAATTCTGTAGTGTGTGCGAAACATTTTGATGTTATGTGTGTAAGTTTGCAGGAAATTAACAATTTCAAATTTGTTCTGCATAGTGATTATTTAAAATTGTACAGCAATTTTGATGACTCTGTGCAGGAATACATCTGTGGATACGTGGCTCGATCAGTTTTGAAGAATAATAAATG